CCTCTCTGTCAAGGTAAGAGGAATGGCCCTTTGAAGAAACTGCTGCATTTATACAGATTCTGGATAGCCCTGTGTATGAATCAGGGGTGATGCTGACCACCCCACCAGGCAAGTAACAACTGTATTTCTGGTGTGACTACTAGCCCAGCATCTGCTTGCATAACTCCTGTGCTTTGAAAAATGTTGAGGAAAGCACCTTGCCCAGCCATTTATAAGGTTAAGCGAAGACTAGGTGAACCAGTTTTCTTCAGTAAAAGAAATTCTATGGGACACACAGAATATAAGCAGGGCAGGGGAAAATGAATAATAATGATAATAAACAGCACCAACATTTATGGAAAATTTAATACATACAAGACCAAATACTAAAAGTGTAATGTTCATTTTTTTAATCCCTCTAAGAACATGCAAAGCTGCTACTTCTAAAGTACAGAGGTTAATTAATTTGCTTAATATCATATTGCTACCAGTTGGCATCATAAGGATGTCAGAGCACAGGTTCTTGTATTCCATGCAGTAGACATGTGATGGTCATCTTTTCACAAGCAAAATTCAGGATATGGGGCTTAAGACAGATCAGCGTGCATTGGATTCAATGGGAATGAACAGTTGAAATTAGGATTGTTGAAGAAAATCCTGGTAGTAGAATCATAACCCTTTAAATACCAAAGAAAATTATGGATCATAATTTGTCTATGTTTGGTTGGCAAATTTCTCTTCTTGCCTCTTTGGCAATAAGGAAATTATGCTGTTTATATTCAGAGCATGCAATTAGTATCATTCTGATTGATCTATTGGAAGTTAAAAATAGTTTTCCTTAGAGTCCATGTAATCAATGACAAAAGCATTTCCCAATTGACTTGGTAGAGGTTACTGATGATTACACCTATACTTTCCCCTGGCTTTCAAAATGTCATTTAGAGAGGATAACTTGGTTCATAATGAAAGCTCTCACCAATTTTTGAAATGTACATTGAACACTGATCTTGTCTTTTTCTTTTCTTTTTTTTTTTTTAAATAAAGAGTAAACTGTATTATTGAGGTACTAAGACGTGTGAAGTGAACAGAAAAACATCATGTCCCGCGTGGTTACTTCTGATTTTTTAACTCTTGGATCAGATTTTACAAAAGAATGATATGTAAACAACATACATTTTAAGCCTATCCACAGGGTTGATTTCAGATGTAGAGGTGGAGTCGGCAGATGATTGACTAGTGTGATTTGAGAGTTTTCAAAAACAATTTCTACTGTTACCCTGACACTCTGGAACTATGGCCAATTGGCTAAATTCCTGTATATAAAAGAAATGGTTATTTGGGCTAAAATATGGATGAGAGAATGGGAGATTTATGCCCTACTCTCTTGGTTTCTTTTTGGGAAATCTATCTATACCGTTTGAAAATCACTGCTGGCCAGCACTGAATAAGTGGTTAACTCTGTGTGAGTAAGCAATCATCTCCTGGCTAGTGGGCCAATAGAATTTGACCTAGAGAAAAGTTTTCATAGAATAGTGAGGTTTGATAGGAAGGAAGAATGGCCTTTACCGAGTACCTATTACATAGGAGACACTACAGGTGTCTTATAGACATTGGGTCATTTGAAACCCCTGATACACCTGCGTGGTAGTGATTGGGATGGAAGGAGACTGAAGAATGAAGAAAACAGTAGTTGCAATCCTTAGTGGGATCTGTCTGTGAACACATTTCAGTGACCTACTTTGAGCTCCTAAGTCCAGGTCTAGATCTAACATCTTACCACTTCAATGGTGAAGAAGGAAGACCTGGAGATTCCTATTGTAATTTTTAGTAGCAATTTGTATAAGTTTATATCTAGTAAACCGTGGAGCCAGAATTTACGCCAATATCAATTATGCCAGGTCTCCTAACTATAAAACTCATATTATAAAACCCATATGTCTTTCCTCTTATATGGGGAGGAAGTATTCTATAAGATGAGAGGTTAAAACGTGAGCTCACAAGCCACACTGCCTGGCTTCTGATCCTTACTCTACCACTATGGCTACTTGTGAGATCTCAAACGAACTACTCAATCTCAGTATGCCTCTCTCCTCAAAGGTAAATGTGGAGGAGGATACTCTGTGTTTAACAGCTATCTCACGGGTCTTTAGTAATGAGCTTAGTATACAATAAGCCCTCAATAAGTTGAGCTTTTTTTTTTTTTTTTTTTTTTGAGACAAAACTTCACTCTGTAGCCCAGGCTGGAGTACGGTGGTGAGATCTCGACTCACTGCAATCTGTGCCTCCTGGGCTCAAGCGATTCTCGTGCTTCTGCCCCCAAGTTGCTAGGATTACAGGTGTCTGACACCACATCTGGCTAATTTTTGTATTTTTAGTAGAGACAGGGTTTCACCATGTTGGCCAGGCTGGTGTCAAACTCCTGACTTCAGGTGATCCACCTGCCTTGGTCTCCCAAAGTGCTGGGATTACAGGTGCGAGCTACTGTGCCCAGCCAACTTAAGCTTTTATCACTCACTGTTATTGCGACCAGGTGAATAGGCTATTCCTCTGCCTGGTTCTGAAACAGGGCTGAGCTGGAGATCATGGCTGGCTGCCAAGGCAAAGGGTACATGTTTCTTGGTCAGTTGTAAAAAGGGAACATTGGTACTGAAAAAAAGCCTTGCCCATTTCAGTATTTTGCCTTGAAGCGGTCCTGGAGAACTAGATTCTCTAAGCCCCACGACCTCTCAACAGTAAATAGTAAGCATTGGTAGAGCTTATTCTTAAAATTATTATTATATGAAGAGAGATCTAAAGGTAGGCTAATAAGTTCCATGTAAGTGATGCCAGGCATTCTGATTCTGATGAACTGACGTTCATTTTAGTAGACACCCATGTAGTTCAATTGATTATGGAGTGGATTGAGTTCTATTTCTTAAGTAGACAAAAGACAAGCTGTTGAATGATTTTTACCCCACTATCCCCTAAAATACAATGTATTTTTCAGTCTCTCTCTCAATGAAAGGAAAAGGGCTTCCTCTTTTCCTTTATTTTATTTTGTCTGAGGGCAACAGGGGGTTATAAATTACAGACTTCAACTGGGTGCTGTGGCTCACACCTGAAATCTCAGCACTTTGGGAGGCAGAGGCTGAAGGATGGTTTGAGGCCAGGAGTTCATGATCAGGCGGGCAACATAAACCTTGTCTCTACAGAATTTTAAAAATTAGCCAGGTGTGGTGGTGTGCACCTGTGGTCTCAGCTGCTTGGGAGGCTGAGTCAGGAGGATTGCTTGAGCCCAGGAGTTTAAAGTTACAACGAGCTATGATTGCACCAGTACACGCCAGCCTGGGTGACAGAGCAAGACTCTGTCTCTTGAAAAAGAAAAAAGGCTGGGCACAGTGGCTCACACCTGTAACCCCAGCACTTTAAGAGGATGAGGTGGGCAGATCACTTGAGCTCAGGAGTTTGAGACCAGCCTGGACAATGTGGCAAAACCCTGTCTCTACAAAAAATACACCAGGTGTGGTATTGTGTGTCTGTCATCCTAGCTACTCTGGAGGCTGAGGTGGGAGGATCACTTGAGCACAGCAGGTCAAGGCTGCAGTAAGCTATAATTATGTCACTGCACTCCAGCCTAGGGGACAGAGTGAGACTCTGTCTCAAAGAAAATACTAATAATAAAAGAAATAAATACTGAGGTCTGTACCTCAGTATTCTATATAATTTGTGATGCTTTACTAATTTTCAGTTTTAACCGACTGAAGAGTCCTTGCTTTAAATGGAGAGCCAAGGAAAATACAGCATATGGAACCCATGTTAAACAGTTATTCTTTAGCGAATAATACTAATTACAGTTATAAAAGCACAGTGGAATCTAATGACTAATATGTAGAATTAATCAACTACTTATGAGCCATTACTATAACTTACTATGTTAGATACTAAGGATACAATGATGAGTAAGATTAGTCTCTGCCCTCGAAGAATTCATGAGTTCATAGTGTAGTGGGGGAAAAAAGAAGTTGCAAAAAAGTACAACAAAAGTGTAATAGTGAAATGTACAAAGTGCTAACATAGGCAACAACTCTTTCTGGGAAAACTTGTTAAAGCATTACAAAAGAGAACCTTACTAGTTAAGAGTTCTGTAAAATGATCACAAACTGTGACTACTCTCTGTCTCTGTCTCTCTCTCTCTCTCTCCATATACACACATATGTATGTGTATGTATATATATAAATATATATATGGTCATTCTTGGAAGCTAGAAAAATGTCAAATTAATGAGGAGTATGGCACTGAATTCCCGATTACCCCCGTGCAGATTAGTTGCCCTGAGGCACTTGGGCATGGCTCTCTCCATCCCATTTCAAAATCTGCTGACACTTCAGCTCTCCCTCTTGCCATCCAACTCATTCCTGAATCAGGCTGCCAGTTCAGGAGAGGGCCTAGCTCTTCCTTCATAAGTTTGCTACTATGGGCATATAGAAATTATCATTTTTCCATTTGATTATACACACTAGGGATAACTTCCATTACCACGAAATATAAGCATGCTGGATAGCAGCTGTTAACACATTATAAGCAACTGGTAAACTGAAGTAGCAGTTGCTCTTAGGTGTAGCAACACATATTTGATGGAAAGGAGGTTACATTCAGGAAGAGAGGAATTGGTATGTGGTCAAAGGGTCTTCCTGCCCTATGCTGCAGCGGTATCATTTAGGCACCATAGAATGACAGGCTCCTGAGAACCTCATGTTGCAAAAAGTTTAAAAATTGTGCATGAGTGTGTGCGCTGATGTATATGTGTGTGCATGCATGTGTGTACGTGTGCTTACATGTGTGTATACATATGAATACATGAGTGTATTTGTGCATCTCTATGTATGAATGTGTGCGTGTGTGTGCATATGTGTGTGTGTGTGAGGCTGAGCAGGTTGGAAAGTAAGTATAAGACTCCTCATAGTCCCCATGAGCTCTGCTTCTCCCCACCCCCATATCCCCACACCACCAATAGACAAAAACAGAAATGATGTTTTGCGACCTGAGATTTGTTTCGAAAGTTTGTAGCTCTTCGAGGACATTCCAGTGGGACCCTCACTGGTTCCCTGCAGGATGGTGGATTTTCTGTCAGCTGTCCCCCAACCCCCACCAGGTTCCTGAGTCGTTCCCCGCCTGCAGCTGCCGCTATGCAGAGGCGGGCCCGGCCCGGGCAGGCTCGGCCCGTGGCGCAAGCTGCCCGCCCGCTGAAGTCAGCCCGTGGTGCCGGCGGGAGGGGAGCCAGCGAGAGGACGGGGGCGGGGAGAGGCCATGCCTCCAGCTTCAGGGGTTGCACAGAGCGGGCATGATCGCGGTCACCTGCGCGGCGCCGGTACCCTTGCGCTCGTGTTGCCCGGCCCGCGGCCGCGGACTTTGCGGCTGGAGCGCGGCGCCGCGAAGCACCGGCGCGGAGGGTGCCCGGCGTAGGCGGCGGCGGGTGTGGGCCGAGCCGGTATTTATAGCTCCGTGACAGCAGCAGCGGCAGCGACGCCGCCGGCCCGTCTCGCCGTGCTTCCCAGCGAGGCCGCCGGCGCGCCAAGGGCTGTGCTAGACCGCGACTCCGGTGTGCAGTCGCCCCACGCCCCGCGCGACCCTTCGGGTGAGTACGAGGGCCAGGGCGTTGGGTGCGCCTCCCCCGCCGCTAGGTCCGGCCGAAGCGGAGCCCTCCGGGCCCGACCGCCCGCAGCCCAGCTGACTCCTTGTCCCTGCCGGCGAGTGCGGAAGCAGCCGCGGAACCCCGGCCCGGCCCCCGAATTCCCGGGCGCCTCTACTCCTGCCTTCCTGGGGATGGCAGCCAAAGAGGCTGGATGAAGTGTCAGAGAGGGAGGCGGACGCGCCAGCCCTCTGGCTAAGGGCAGAGGGGACTCCCGGGCGAAGGGCTCTTGGTGGGAGCCCTCAAACTCTCGGCTCGGGCTCCCGGATGCCGAGATACAGCGGGAGAGCAGACCTTGAACTTTCCTCGCTTCAGTGATTCCTAGCCTAGGAACTGAGTAAAAGCCCTATTTTTCTTAATTAAATTAACAGGTTGCAGTTTATTGGTGGTGTTCTTGCGGGGGGGAGGGGGAAAGACTTGGGTGTTTGGGTGTTTGCTAACTTCATCGTGACTAAATAAAACTATTTTTTTCAATCCTATTTTTGAAAATGCCACAGGCCCACAAGTGTGTTCTACCCTCTGTGGAACAATGGTGTGTGTGTGTGCGCGCGTGTGTTTGTGTGTGCGCGTGAGAGAGAGAGAGAGAGAGGAGTAAACATCACATGTTTGTCAGGAACTCAAAAGGAAAAAAAAATGAGTAAAAGTATGTTGAATATAAGACTACATGTATTGTCCAGCAAACTGTAAATGATGTATTGTCTGAAATCCAAGGAGGACTTCTAGGAAGCTTTCAGGATTTTGTTTTGGATTGGAAACAACGTCTTCCAATTTATGGAATAGAAAAGTAGTTGAATCCCTGTAAACCCCATTTTTGTTGTAAAGTATTGACATTTGACCATGGATATACTTTCTTTTATCCTCCCAGTCTCTGTAGTTTAAAAGTAGTTGTGGATTTTGACATTCTGACCCAGGTATTTATCCCTCCCATCCCACCCTCCATCTGATCCTTGTGATGAGAAACTGGTTCTTAACAGTTTTGTCCATGCTTCTTGAAGATATCGTTAAAAAAATAAACTTCATCCGTGAATGAATTTTATTTAATTTATTAAATGTTATTTTCTTTGCGTTCAGAATATGATCATGGCAATTCCTTTTTTTTTTTTTTTTTTTGAGATAGAGTCTTGCTCTGTCGCCCAGACTGGAATCCAGTGGCGCAATCTCGGCTCACTGCAACCTTGGCCTCCCGGGTTCAAGTGATACTGCCTCAGCCTCCTGTGTAGCTGGGATTACAGGCGTGCAGTGCACTACCACACCTGGCTAATTTTTGTATTTTTAGTTGAGACGGGGTTTCACCATGTTGCTCAGGCTGGACTCACCTCGTAATCTGCCCACATTGGCCTCCCAAAGTTCTGGGATTACAGGCGTGAGCCAGCCACCAAATCTGACTGGCATTTCTTTATTACAAACAAATCACTGAAAAAGGTCTAAACATTTTTGAAGAATATAGTAGTGATTATTTTTTAACTTTATAATGTGCTAAGTCTTATAAATATTTTGCCATTTCAATGGAAAGTTGTCTCTGTTCAGAGGACCCCTAGACCTACTTTGCTTTTGAGCCTCTGTCTTAGAAACTTGCACTGATTAAGCAATTTGTTTGCCCTAGGGCTGCAGGATAGGAACAAGGGAAAACAAATCACATAAAGATTGAAACAGTGTGAAGAGAAAGTCTAGGAAGTAATTTATTGATGTAATCTTCTGAATTAGCTAAGGTACCGCAAATATTATCCTGGAATCTATCAGAACCACTTATGGTGGTTTTATTGATTGACTTAAAAGGTTGCTTTTTATTTAAAAGCCCCTGTGGTCTTTTGTATTAGACTAAAAGTAAGGTGTTCTAACTTTATTTCTGTTATTATTGCTATTTGTTTTTTTTAACCTGTATTAAGCACTTGCATCATGTAAAATGCTATACATAATCTTATCTTTTTATCTAACAATTTAAGATAATATACTAAGATCTATCATTACCTCAGGACTGGTCTGTGTGTATGTGTACGTATGTGTGTGTTTGGGACTAGGCTGCTGGGAAAGTATAAGGCTTCTTGGCTGGGCTTGGCGACTCCCGCCTGTAATCCCAGCACTTTGGGAGGCTGAGGCAGGCAGACCATGAGGTCAGGAGATCGAGACTGTCTTGGCCAACATGGTAAAACCCTGTCTCTACTAAAATATAAAAAAATTAGCCAGGCATGGTGGCACGTTTCTGTAGTCCCAGCTACTTGGGAGGCTGGGGTAGGGCAATCGCTTGAACCTGGGAGGCAGAGGTTGCAGTGAGCTGAGATCACACCACTGCACTCTAGTCTGGCTATTGAGCAAGACTCAGTCTCAAAAGCAAAAGACTTCCCATACACCTCATGGGTTCTGCTTCTCTCCACCCTCACATCCCATACCACCAATAGACAAAAACAGAAAAGATGTTTTGCCACCTGAGATTGCTTTTGAAAATTTGTAGCTCTTTGATGACATTCCATATATCTGGTTTTTCTACCTTTCTGCCGTTTCTCCTTTTGCAGATTTGGATGTCCGTTTTCCAGACTCTACTCTCTCTGGAATGGAGTCCTCTGGGTTTTTTTTTTTTTTTTCTCACCCAAGGCCAGTCTGTTATCTATTATCCACACATCTGTTTATTCATTTTTTCATCCATCAGCAAATATTTATTGAGGGCCTACTAGGTGCAAGTCATCACTTAGTATTTACTCTTAGTTCCTTCCCATTGACATTTTATTCTGTATTTTGTACTCCACACAAAGGTAACTAAGAGCAAAACTTTGGGGTTGTATAGAGGTAGTTGTGCCTGTTTTTGTCAGTTGGTAGCTGTATGACCCTGGCAGATCATAACCTCTGAATTTCTGTTTCTTCACTGCTAAATCCAAATGGCTGGTTTCAGAAATAATTGAGAGAATACTTGGAAAGTGCTTTCCAAGAGCCCAAACCCTTAAAAGCACTAAAAAGTGTTAATTACAAGTTTATTATCTACATCTACTGCAACCCTCTTCATCTCAGGAAATGCATTTTCCATCTCAGGATATGGCAGTTCCATTCTGCATTTTGCCTAGATCACGTCTACATCCAATGCATCGGTAAGTCTTACTAGTTCTCTCTCAGTGTATCCAGAAGTAGAGCTGTTTAAACTGCCTGCCTTAATTTCTCTCTGCTTGGTCCAAGTTGCATCTCTTTGGCAACAGCTTCCTCAGTAGCTTCCCTGCTTCTGTTCCTGGCCCTCCTTTTTTTACAAAATATTTTCAACCAGGAAACAGACTGGCCCTTCTGACATATAGGTCAGATTATGTTCCTCCTCTGCTTCCTATCTCACTCAAGGTGAAAGCCCACATAGAAGAGCTTCAAGGCCTGCTCACGATCAGATGCTACCTTGTGTACCTCATCTCTTTCATACACCCCCGCATGTGTCATACTACCCATCCAGTCATACTACCCTCTATGCAGATCCTTCATTTGCTCTAAACATGCACCTGACAATGGCCTTTGCAACTTCTGTTCCCTCTGCCTGGATCACTCTTTCCCCAGATAGCTGCTGGCTTCTCTCCCTTCTTCCATGCCTGTCTTCTAATGTCACCTTATAATGAGGTCTTCAACTTCCCTCACACCTGACACTCCCTGTTCACTTTTCCTTGCTTTAATTTTCTTTGTGTATTTCTTAAATTCTGTGTTTAATTTTCATCTCTTTAGTATCTGTTTCCCCCAAAGAAACTATCAGATGCATGGCATCAGGGCTTTGTCTGTTAGTTACCCTAGCACATAGGCCAGTGCCTGGCAAAAAATAGGCAATTGGTAAATATTGAACAAATGAATGAATGTTATTATAAAATTAACACATCTGTACATCATCACTGATTGAATCGCTCTTCTGCGTTGAAACCTGTGATAATTCTCTATTCTCCGCTCAGTAAAATACAGACCAACACTTTTGAATAATAGTTGTTGGATTGGCTCCAAATTATCCTTAACTGTCACAGCATAACTCCAAGCACCTGGCGTTCCTGCCACACAGAACTACTGATATGTCTGTAAATCAGTCCCAGACAGTTTCCTCTGTGCCTTTGCACAAAATAGAAGTACTGTGATTTTTTTTTATATAAGACTGCTTTATTATCAGAAACTTTCTAACTAATGTAAAGGGTAACATTTTGGAATTTATGTCCTTGTGTGGGGAAGGCATTGAATGGAATGTTGAAGCGAGGTGGCTTGGATTTAAATTGTGGCTCTGGCATAAATTAATGTTGTTACTCTTTACAAGTTACTAAACTCTAAATCTCAGTTTCAACATTTGTAAAATGGGGAAAATAATATTTTCTTCATTGGGTTGCTATGAAATTTAAGAGATGCTTGTAAAACTCATCAACATATTGTCTGGTATATAGTATGTGCTCAATAAATGTTAGCCCTAGAAATAGTAATTCATCACCTTGTGCTGAAATGAGAAGTGGTTGGGTGGGAGTGCATTAGTATTGTTACTGGTCAAGTCATCAATGCAGTCTTTGGACTCCACTACTCCTCTTTGCTTTGTTTCCCTTAGTGGAAGTTGAATGTCAGGTTGCTCCATCTTCTTCTCCTCTCACCTAAACAATGAGGGAGCTTCTCTTTGTGAATGTACCACTCAACTTATCCAGGAGATGCCTATTGATCACCCAATATGAGCCCAGTACTGTGCTGTGCCCTGGCAGTAAACAGCCCCTTCTTTGAGGAGCTTTCGATCAAGAGGAGACAAACACATACACAGATAATTTTGCTATAATGAGCTAGGAGCTAAGATAAAAGCTCATTCTCATCTGTGGTTACAGAAATGAATGTTTTAAAATGGAAAGATTTTGAAGACTATGTGCCTGTGTAACATAGTCCATTTGAACAGCCTCAAGCCTGGATTTAAATTAACAGTAGATTCACCAAATGATTATACTGATTGTTAAGATGTTTTATATGCACTACAGAGGTGAAAACAGTTTTGGTTCTCTGGATAATATCGGAGTATCTAAGGAACTAGAAAGCAGGGCTGAGATGACTAGGCAAATGTTTGCAGCCTGTGTACGAAGTCGTGAAGTGAGGCTAAGCAGAGGTTTTATTCAAATTATTATGTAAGGGTTCGAAATTTGGGACCCTCTAGAAAATATCACATCAACTTATGGATTATGAGGCAAGAATAAATTCCAGCCAGCTTAAATGATCAATAATGGGGTCCAGTTTTGTTCTCCTAGTTGAAGCTGTTAGTGAAAATAAAGAATATGCTGTAAGCATGATGGGAAATACCTTACTGTAAAAAGCACTTCCAGCTTTGTGGTGTATTAGAAAGGTTAAGGGCTAGGTTAGATAGATTAGAAAGATTAAGGGCCCTTAGACTTGGACATGTCCTCTGTAAAATCTTCCTCTTTGTTCTCATTCCCCCAGAGCAAAGTTGTCCAGTCCTTCTTGTGGGCAACTACTCTGTCCTAGGCTTAGCTATGTTATAGAACTTACTCTCTATTGAAATTATTTGATAACTAGACTGTGAACATTTTAATAAAAGTTTATGCACATATATGCATTTGTCAATATTTAGAAGAAGATCTGAAAGTTATTCCACCAAATTTGTAAGCAATCATATCTCTGAGGAGAGGGATTTGGGCAGAGGAGAGAATATTGTTTAATTTTTGTTAATATGTGCTGATTTTACCTCTGTGTTGTTTTGATTTTTAAATAACTCTGTATTATGATTGTAAGACAAAAGTGATAATTGAAAAGGGGAGGCCGAGTATGGTGGCTCAAACCCATAATCCCAGCACTTTGGGAGCCTTAGGTGGGCAGATCACTTGAGCCCAGAAGTTCAAGACAAATCTAAGGTACAAGGTAAACCTCTGTCTCCATAGAAAATACAAAAGTGAAACCAGGCATGGTGGCACATGCCTGTGGTTCAAGCTCCTGGGGAGGCGAAGATGGGAGGATTGCTTGAGCCCAGGAGGTGGAGGCTGCAGTGAGCCATGGTTGTACCAGCTCTGCATTTCCATCTGGGAGGACCTCTGCATGTCATCTTGCTCTCTATCCCAATCTTAGACGGTGTTAGTCTGGATTCAAATCCTGGTGTTTCCACTTACTGCATATGTAAATTAAACAGGCAGCAACTGCTCTGAGCCTTTGTTTTCTTCCATGTAATGTTGGAGTGCTAGTAGCATTCATGGCATTACTGTGGGAATTAAATAAGATCATGTACTAGTGCGGGATTATTGCTCAATGCTGTAGTCCTCTTTCCTGAAATAATATAAATGCTGGAGAAAAACAGCTGTCTCAGAAATTTTTTGAATGTTCCAATTTAACTTGAGCATGTGGACATTACATAGCCCATGAAGCAAGATTCTGAAGTTAAAAACAAAAAAATAAGTATGTGCTAGCCCTCCAAAATGCATGTATTTTAAAAAAGAATCAAGATTGTATGTACTGGAGTTGATATGGCTATCTGCAGTAAATGGTGATCAGGCCCTGGAATTAGCCTCAGAGGCTCAGTTCACAGCTCTTCTGCCAGGTGACTTTGGGTCAGTTATGAAGTCTTTGTGAGCCTCAATTTTCTCTCTGTAAAATGAAGTGATAGGAATGATAATAACGGTATTTCAGTAGTATTTCTAAATCCTACTGCCTTAATTGTGTGTGTTCATGGTGGGAGGGAAGGTGGTGGTAGCAGCCATATCAGAATTCTTCACTGGCAAAAGAAACAACAGCAACTTGTAATAACAGCTTCTTAAATACTACTTTTTTTCTAGTTCTGAGGGGGATATAGAAACTATTTCTTTTTCATGACTCAATGGGTCTTGAGATGATTTTTGTGAAATTTTCTTTTCGTGGTGGTCTTTGGACATTTCCAAAAGTGTTGTGTGAAGTTGAGTTGAAAACCAACCTATTCTGGCATTCTTATACATTGAATATCATGAAAACGCATAAAAGTTCATTTTTGTGCTTCACTATTTGCTCTGCTCTCTTTGGCATGAGAATCACACATTTAGGTTTCTGCTGCTATATAGCAGGTGATGAGCCTCATATTCAGAAGTACAAAAAGAAAAACAAGACTCTTAGGATAGTCACCATTCCTAGGCGATCCAAGCTACAGCCCCAGGGGACAGATTTCAGAGTGTTCAACAAAGATAACAAGGGACTTGAAATTGCCTAGAAGCTTATGAATCCAAGGCACAGTGACTTTTTGCTAGGCTGAATTCTATTGCCAGTCTTTTTGCATGTTTATATTGTTTTTGTAAAATGGTTATGACAAGTCTTCATTAACTAAGGTTGTGGGTTGAATTGGTATTCATCAGCCCAGAATATTGGACTGGGAATTGGGAACCTTAGAAGATATCTCAGATCTTCCATTGACTTAGGATCCTTCCCTACCAAGTGTTCAGGGTTTGTAAAAGATTTTTTTTCTCTCTCTCTCTCTCACACACACACACACACACACAAACACACACATTTTCTTACGTATTAGAAGTAGGTATTACATAGTTAATGTTATTGTGTCTAGAGAAGAGCATGTCTCCAGCAGACATTCAAGGGATGGCATTCCTGGGACTGGGCACTAGGCCTGCTCTCTAGGTAAGGAAAGTGCCGGGAATTGATCTGGCTGTTTGCAAAGAACAGTGATCATTCCCCTGGAGTCATCCTCAGGCCCAGATCAGAGTTCTCCTGCTGGGTGACTTTGAGCAAGTTACAAAATCTGTGTCAGCCCCAATTTCCACCTTGTAAAATGAAGTGACAGGAATGATAATAACGGCATTTCAGGGGGTTGTTATGACAAAAATGACACAATGATACATGGGGACATCTAGCACAGAGCCTGGCATGTAAACTGCTGTAGGCTCTGTAAGGGACCCTCTTCTCCCTCTTCTCTTTCTGAATTCTGAATAAATTGAGAGAGAAGAAAAATGAATTGGCAGATGGCAGTCAAATTTTTGCCTGTATTATTTTTGATATCTAAGATTTAATCAGCATTATTGCTGAGAAACATATAGTTTTGTCTGAGAGAAAATGGGCTCACGAAAGCCAAACCCCAGAATTAGAAAGACGTAATCATCCACTTACAAGCCCTGGTGGACCCAGATAGACCTTTTCATGTGGAAGTTGTAGCTTGTGTTCTTTATGGGCAAGCTGGTTCCCAAAGAGGGGAGAGGGATTGCTGAGAAACATATAGTTTTGTCTGAGAGAAAATGGGCTCACGAAAGCCAAACCCCAGAATTAGAAAGACGTAATCATCCACTTACAAGCCCTGGTGGACCCAGATAGACCTTTTCATGTGGAAGTTGTAGCTTGTGTTCTTTATGGGCAAGCTGGTTCCCAAAGAGGGGAGAGGGTGGAGCTGAGCAAGACTTTGGAGGTGGGCTTGAACATTTGCATTTGCAGACAGCATTGTACTTTCAGTGCACATTCAGGTTAGGACCCACTACTGTGGTCATATTACATATTTTGCAATGCTCTTTGCCTTTGGATGTGCCGTGGCCACTGCCTAGAGTGGCTAGCCTTCTATTTGTCCCTTCCTGACTAGAAAAAATTCTACTAATCCTCCAGCCTTGGACTTGGACATGTCCTCTGTAAAATCTTCCTCTTTGTTCTCATTCCTCCAGGGCAAAGTTTTCCAGTCCTTCCTGTGGGCAACTACTCTGTCCCAGACTTAGCTATGTCATAGAACTTACTCTCTATTGAAATTATTTGATAACTAGACTGTGAACATTTTAATAAAAGTTTATGCACGTATATACATTTGTCAGTGTTTAGAAGAAGTTCTGAAAGTAATTCCACCAAATTTGTAAGCAGTCATATCTCTGAGGAGAGGGATTTGGGCAGAGGAGAGAATATGGTTTAATTTTTGTTAATATATGCTCATTTTACCTCTGTGTTGTTTTGATTTTTAAATAACTCTGTATTATGATTGTAAGACAAAAGTGATAATAGAAAAGAGGAGTCTGAGCATGGTAGCTCACACCCATTATCCCAGCATTTTGGGAGCCTTAGGTGGGCAGATCACTTTAGCCCAGAAGTACAAGACCAATCTAAGGTACATGACAAAACCCTGTCTCTACAGAAAATAAGAAAGTGAAACTAGGCATAGTGGCACATGCCTGTGGTTCAAACTACTGGGGAGGTGGAGGTGGGAGGATTGCTTGAGCCCAGGAGGTGGAGGCTGCAGTGAGCCATGGTTGTGCCAGCTCTGCATTTCCACCTGGGAGGACCTCTGTCACCTGGGGTGACAATCTTGCTCACCATCCCAATCTTAGACAGTGTTCTGCCCTCTCACATCCCCTTTCTCCTCCCCTACTCTTTTACTGTCTTTCTTTCCCAAGTCCTCAAATGATTAGAGGTATGATTAGATATTAGGGAAGGGACAATATTCTCTTTCCTCATTCTCGGACTTGTCTTGGAGCCATAAGCGGAAACAGGTATTATATTTTCCAAATACATTTTATGGAACTGTTGTAAACCTGAACTGATAACAAGAAGAGAGAGAGACTATTTGTTTTCCTGCTCTAACCCTATCTATCTTTTCTTACACAGGTAAACTACGAAGTTGAAGTTTTGAAGAATGGGTAAAGACTT